TTGGAGGGCTCATCGTCTTCCTCTCTGCCACTTGGCAGCAAAGGCGACTGCTCCGTCGGCCCTTCATCCCTCTCAATCCCATGATTGTTCTCAACATCTGTATCATAGACGTTATCGTCCGTAAGTTTCGCTTGCGCCGCCATGTTTCACGACGCGCTAGAAGTACTTCAAGGAGTGAATATCGCGATGCTCAAATCGCAGGTCAGACCAGAGGATTATAACATATTAAAAAAAGAATGACGATGGGGGAAAAGGAAACGCGCCATCACAGGATTCAAGTTTAGGTTGTCCCTGGAACTTTTGCGACAAATCGTCGCAAGGTCATTGGCCTAGAGCGCGGTGACGTCTTTGCTGACCTGGAGAGATTACTCCGCCTTATCGTGGCGTTGGCCAATGAGATGTTGGCCCTGAAACGAGTTGGCTTGATTGAGGCGGACACGCAAGCGGGACCACGAGGTGCTTACGACTGTCATTTGGAAGCAGAGATTAGATTGGGCTTAAGCTTCTTTGATAGGAAGGTCTGAACTCAATTCACCGTGTTTATGGCCACGTCTTGTTGAGTGCAAACGTATGCTCTACGCTTGCTTACTCTGCGTCCAAGACAGTCAAGTTGACAACAAATACGGGGAGACTCGGCCGAGGGTGTCCGGGGCGTCTTGGATCGGCGATCTGGGTCTCGGTCCGGAGCGGATCCCGTGGACACCGTGGACGGGCCCAACGCGGCCGGTAGCCCACTTGGTTCAGCCTGACAAGGCGCCACTGAGGTCTAGTCCATAGGAACAGTTTCTCTGACGTTACGAATACTCCATGTTTTGACTGTTCATGCCTAGGGGAGGAAAGAAAGCTCAAGACCTTGATCCTAGACGATGAAAGATTTAGGTAACTTAGTGTAAATTCAGCCTAAGTTTAGGATATCTTTTGCTAGGTTTATTTTGATATCCCATATCAAGGTCGATGTTTTCTTGTCCCCCGAGGCACGCATGCATAGTAGATCTTGATCGGTAAGTGGCCTGGCAACTGCACATTTGCATGGTAACTGACAACATCAGAGCTCAACGCCTGTCGTGTTCGCGTTCTCAACAAGACGATGATGGTGAGAATGCCAGGCTTCGTCATGGCTGCTCTTTGTACCGTGTCTTGCCATAGTGCTGAAGCAGGAGGTCGCATTGCCCTCTTGCGTCGCAGAAAATGATCCTGGTCAGGGCGCTAACCACCTGCAATATCCACCACCGGGCGTTGGATGAAACCATTGCTTCGTCGACTTCACGAAACTCAAGGCAGGTTCCTTACGTTAATTCGCCTCTATCAATCCCATGGCTACCAAAGACCCAGAGTTCCAGACTCAGTGTCTTGATCTTATTTGTGGGATCAAAGCCGCGCATGAGAAGCAGAATGATCTTCTTGAGAAATTGGTGATGCTAATGGCTGAGCCATTTGAACTGAAGACAGCCCAACAACGAGAAGATAAATGCCATGAAGAGATCGAAGAAGCTCTTGTACAAGGGGATAAAGTCGAGCTCGATGGAGGAGTGTCATCGGATGATCTCAGCGTTGCAGCGCAACAAGACATTAACTTGGGCAACATCCTTCGCTACGCATCTCATTCTTACAAGAAAAGGCTACAGCTCTTTGAGACTGGTTTAGATGGTCCACAGCCATTCGCCCTCAACTCTCAAATACCTCCCTCACAGTCTTCGTACACACTACCTGAGCAGTTGGAGTACATTCCACGACCCTCAGAAGATGGAGACATCGTTGTCAATGCCACTCAGTCCTGGAATTACTGTAGGTATCCTCATTCATCACCGACATCCAAATTGACAATCCCCTTAAACAGGGTATCCACGCGATTGGGAGTTACACTCCCCCAGAAACAAATCCATCAGCCCAGTACCGGACTTCATGCCGCCATGGCAACTTACCCGTGGAGAAAATGAAAAGTGGTATCACATCGATGACATAGACTTGGAGTTTCCCCTGACCGCGCCGGATACACTATCACCGGTGGTCGGAACATACTTCGAAGTGCCTTACTCTTTCTTTCCGGGACTGCGGAATCTGAACATGGCTTACACGCGGCGTCAGGGAATCACGTATGGTGGCTCAGGCGACTACTTGATCGAGACAGCACTTACCGAAGCACATCGATACAAGATTCGCCAGTCACTTGGGGACTTTTACGCTGTGCCCCAGGATGGCCGACTCCCTCTATCGTTTCATACGAGTGAGCTTCGCATGCAGGTTCGTCATCGACGCACTCGCAACGATATCGATCGCAGTCTGAATAAGTATCTCGAGCCTACGCGTGAGCTACTCAGTAAACTTCATTGGTTTACTATCATCGACCTCACGGCGCCTGGGGGTTCTCAAAACGCGGTATATAGTCTACGAACCAAATCGTTACCGTTCCAACATGATTATCCGCCATCGCGTATTGAGGCGCCGCCTTGCTGGGAGATGATCCAGCCAGCGCTTCATAGAGAAGGCAATGGGTTTGTGTCATGCCCATCAGTCATACAAGATCACCCAACTCAACCTATACATCGCGAAGGTAGGTGGTGTCGCGTTATTCAGCTTGACGGCCTTGCAAATATCACCGCTGGTCTGATGGAGGAGAAATGCACCCGGTACAACTCGATGACCGTCTGGAAGCTTCTCTTCCAAGATAACCAGCTGAATTCAAGCAAGGGCCGGGCATTTCGCGCCACGATGAATCAGCATCTACTCTGCAGACCGTCTGCAAAGGACTTGCACGGCTCCGAAAACGTTCCATGGAGGTCATTTCATATTTCTTGGTATCAGCTCTGTACGCAGCCCACGGACGCGGCTGTCAAACAATCTACATGGAACTATGGACGTCTTTATGGAGAGAAGGGGCCGTATATCAAACAGCAGGCTTTTACTCTGGGGTGTACTTATCAAGAGCTTCATGGATCTAATGCTAAGCGTGACTCTTTCTGGACAGTCTTGATCATGAAGCCGTCTGCTGCTGATTTTGATCCATATGATGTCCACAAGGTCCCGCGTCGAACCTACCCTCCTCAGAGCGATGGTCGACAATATCGCTCAGAAGATGTTATTCTCGATGCTATTCGGACGAACTTACAAAAAGCAGCAAACGCGTGGAGTCGAATGCAAGTAGCCCTTGACGCAATCGTCGACCACGATCCTCTCTTTCTCGACCCCGTTCAGCACGACAATCTCTTATTCGACGACGATACGTTCTCAAGATCACGGCAATACTTTTGGATCGTCAGTTGTCTCGAGTCTTTCCTTATTCTTATCGATGATGCTATAGAGGAGTGGAGGAGGTTTCGTGCAGATTGGCCTCATATGCTTATGGAGATTGATCCAGCGGAGGAGTCACGAACGGGAGAAACGCCAGAGACGTCGACGCGAAGAGTTGTGGGGGAGATTGAAGCGCAGGTTGATCGATTGAGGATCATATCTGCTCGTTTCGAAGCAAGTCGTGACAAGACGAAAGCTCTCAGAGAAGGCGTACGTGTCCCTCGACTGCTACGGTCTACATACTAACGTACTTCGCACAGCTCTTCAGCGCCAGTGGAGTAATCGAGAGTCGTGTCTCTACTCGTCTAGGCGAAAACGTCAAACTCCTCACCTACGTCAGCATCTTCTACCTACCACTAAGTTTCTGCGTTGCTCTATGGAGTGTAAACGAGGGCTATTCCCGACCAATACTGGCATTCACATCAGTTCTTGTCGCAGCTGTGACGTTCATCGTCGTAGCTAACATGAGAAACATGGCCTCTGTATGCGCTGTCGCATATCGTGGTGTCAAAAGACGGATCGTTCGACGGATGCGTGGGAGTGAGGATGAGAAATGGGTAAAGAGAGCAACGGCCTTTGAGAGCTACAGACCTGAAAGGATGGAGGTTGAACCGTCCGAGTGGTATATCTTGTACTTCTTCATATACTCTATGTTCAGCCAGGCAGGTTCTTGGATGAAGAAGCAGAGACGGAAAGTGAGGAGTTTGTTTAGTTCGTCGGAGAGAGAACCAAGTCCTGCCAAACAGAGTCCAGCGGTGGGAAGCGAGCCGTGGGCAACTCCAAGCTCATGGTGAGGCAAGAAAATTATCCTCAGACATGGGTAAAGTTAGTAGATCTTAGATTATGCATTTACAACAACTTAATTTGATCAACTCCAAAGGTTTTCTTGATGTCTGTGGGTCAGGCCTCTCTCTACGTCCATAGGATGTCAAGATCTTTCGGGAAAAGGTTTTCCTTTATCCTTGTTTCATATCGTCGACACAGCCTCGAAGGAGTGAGATGCACTGCCTTTCCAGGAATCATTCTTCATGGATCAACCGTGATCGGCTTATGCAAATCCTCCGGAGCAATCTTATTTGGTCGATTAAGGAACGTTGAGTTCAATGACTTTCTCTTGGACAAATCTGGGCAATTCAACGGTTGACTCCAAGTAAGAATGCCTCACGGGGCTGATTTCTGGATCACCGTTGTTGAGACATTAGTGCAATCTTTATTCAGGTTGCTTTTGTTTCAGTCTCGGGAACTTCCAGCGATGGATTCTTCATCTCAATGCTAACAAGCCTGACGGGACTGCTATCCCGCTCAGCCCAGCCCCCAAACCCATCCATGATCACCATCACGATCTACCAATCACACAAACCTCACAGCGAGCAAGCTCATCGTCACCGTTACATCCCCCAATCTTCTATGGAGACTCAGGAGTATTTTTGCCCTACGACCCCTGTCAGAATGTAAGCTCGTGGGTCTTCCCGCTCCTGAGCTTAATTTCCTTGACAAGGTATCCGATCCTCGAGTCCATCTAGCCTATCACAAGCAGCTCGCCATCTTAGCATTTTATGGGACGACGTATATGGTTCAATCACATGTTGGTGTTTGATCCTATAATCCTGCAGGGGAATTGGAAATGCAAAAACACTTGGAAAGGAGGATATATAAGGTCGATAGATCAGCTTGGAATAGTATCTATCTTCATCCAGATATCATCAGTCGTCATGTCTTCCACAAAGTCCCTTCTTGCATCCATCCTCGCCATCGCTCCCTTGGCTCTGGCTCAAGATCCATCATGCGATTGCTATGTTACCAAGGGCGATAGTCCCCAGTACTACACAAGCCACTCATTCTTTGACTTCCGTTCCCTCTCCCAATACGCTGGTGTTCCTCCCCTCATCGACTCAATCCAAGGCAACGCTGAAGCAGACTTTTCTTCAGCTTTCTTCAACTGGGAGTCTGAGTTTGCTCAAAGTTGGGGTCCTCAGAAATGGAACAACGGAAACGAAGAGTTTCCTATGCAGAATACTTATAACAACTTGTACATTGAGGAGAACAATGACGTCTCTCCTGCGAGTGATACGTGGTTAACGATGAGAACTGCTCGTCACAATGGCTTCCAAACCGCCTCTGAGTTTGAGTCCCTTGAGAAGCATCAGTATGTCTCATTGAGAATGTATGCTCGCACCAAGGGTTCGCCCGGTGCCTGTACAGCAATGTTCACCTATCTCAACGGCGGCTCCCTCGCCCTCGTCCAAGAAGCAGACATTGAAGTGCTCACCAAAGATGATCCCACTATCATCCACTACACAAATCAACCCTCCTACACCGACGAGGGCGGCGAAGTCGACGGCGCTCACCTAGCAGCCACACTCCCCGACGGTCTCAAGTGGACGGACTGGGCAAAGCACACTATCGACTGGACGCCCGATGCGACGATCTGGAAGGTCAATGATAAAGAGACCTGGCGTAATGCGTTCCAAGTGCCCAGAGATCCGGCGCAGTTGAGCTTTAATGCCTGGAGCAATGGAGATACGTGGACAGGTACTATTCCAGAGGGTGGTGCGGCGTATCAGCAGATTCAGTGGATTGAGGTCTTGCATGGACGCACGGAGCAGGGGGCTTGTAAAAGGGTCTGTAGTGTTGATGAGGGTGAGGCTGGTAAGGCTGTGCCTGTTTAGAAGACGGCATGCTTTCTGGCAATCCTCTGTCAACATTTCTTGTACATAGTTGAGTATAATAGAGAGTTTGTGCTATCAGTCCTTCGACAAACTGACTTGAATCATAACTTTTGGTCCTCTATAGTCTATTAGCCGTTGACCATCTACAGCTTGAATCTCTGCGCCAACAAGATCCCCTCTGCCAAAGTCCCAACCCTCGCATCGATCGCACAGCCCTCCTTCTCCCACGTCTCACACATCCCCCACAAATCCGTCAACTTGACCGTAAAAACTTCAATAAACTCACCCTCCTCCAGCTCTGGCTTCAATTCTTTGTTCGCGGGCAACTCCATGTCAACGCTAACATGCACCATCTTCAAATTCGTGTTGCAAAACCCTGGGTCGTTGAACATCATGGGCGACGTCTCAGTGGCCACACCGACGTAGCCTGTCTCCTCGCGGAGTTCGCGGATGGCGCATTCTTCGGGTGTCTCGCCCTCGTCGATCAAACCGGCTGGGACTTCGATTGTCACGGCGTTGATGGGAGGGCGGTATTGTTTTTGCAGGATGAGTTCGGGGCCTGTTGGGAGGGGCAGGATGGCTACTATGCCGACGCCATCGATATCGGCGGTCTTGGGACGTGTCAGACGTTCGGCTGATTCCCAGGTTCTGGATGTCCCTGTTGGGTCACGATATGTGATTCTAAATATTTATATCTTAGAAGTGAGAGGTGTGAAAGGAGGTGAGTGAGCGTACTTGGAGAGTTTGATCCAGCGAGCTTCCTCCTTAGACTGAGATTGTTAGCAAATGTTGGTAGACTTTGGGAACATTACTTACTAGAGGCTCAGTGGAAGTCACTTTTGCATTGAAAACAGACATTTTGAGTGAGTTGAAGAGAAAATTTTGTCTGTTTGTCTTGTTGTGTTTTGAGAAGTCATGATGAGTTGGCTACCGCCCCGCCGAAGTCGGTGAGAAGATGTGCAACGTCACACAAACTACCCTGAAGCTACCCAGAGCATGCGACCAAATCACCAATTGCGTGCAATCGCTGGGAATTGAAATCTAAATAATGAATATGCTTATGCTTATAGAGCTACTACTAATGTTTTAGTGTTTCAGAATAGGTTTTGGTTGAAACGATGTGAACCTGACAGTGATTGATGATATCTTTTGGTCTGGGTTTCTTCCAGACTCTTGACCGGCTTTTCAGCTTCATGCACCATTGTCTCTTGAAAATGCATGTCTCAGTTAAACTCTATGCTTCTCCCGGGATATTATTGGGTGCTTATTCTTATCTAGCCTATGATCTGCTCAATAGCGACAGCCTTAACGCATCCTATCTTGCATACTTCGGAGTGGAGTGACATCCTCACACAAGTTATCACCACCAACAACTAAGACATGGCGATATCTCTACAGCTTCCCCTCCTCCTTCAACCCCCTCCAAAGAGCCAAAGCAGCCAAACACTTTGCATCCCTCGCCCCCTCCCTCCAAGCATCCTTCATCGGCACAACCTTCAGCGTGATCTTCTCCCCATGCTCCCTCAACCCCGTCAACCGCCCACTCCACTCCTTGATCTTGTCCCTCTCAATCCTCATCTCATAGCTAAATATCGTAATATACTCATCACAACCCCCCGCGCTGGGAAACATCCCCTTCGCAATATCTTCAGTATCCTCAGCTGTAGCAAGTTCACTCAAGTTCGTAAGCTCTTCCTCTTTTATGGTGACACCGAGCTCCTCCTTGATCTCTTGCGCTGCTGCGCCGGCGAAACTACCCGCGTCGTCGACCATACCCGCTGGTAGTTCTGTGAAGCTAAGACTTCCGGCGGGAACGCGGGGCTGCACTGTGAGGACGACGTAGCGCTCTGAGGATGACGGGGGTGCGTCGGAGGGGACGAGCATGAAGAGCATTGCTACGCTGGGACCGCGGAGGAGTGCGGCTGCTGGGAGTGTTTCGCCCGAGTCATTGGAGACAGTTGCTGTGAGCTTTATGAAGCCGACACGTTTAGCGCTGAAGAGATCGTAAGATTGGATGGTAACTGAGCGCAGAGCGTAGGGGTCTTTGTGGAAGGGGTGAGATTCATCGGATTGTAGACGGAGTGAGTTTGTGAGTGTGTCGACCCATTTCTACAAGCATTAGTAATTTGAAGTGAAGATATGTGAAGAGAAAAATGTACCGTGAATGGCTTAAATGAAGTGAGCTGTTCCTCTGAAAGGCCATCAGGAAGACCGAGAGGGATGTTGTGGCTCTTGAGCGTGGTAGACATTGTGCGTGTGAAGTGGTGAAGAGATGGGGTTTGATGAACGAGACAGGTTGCTGAGAGTAAAAATCTGGGATTTCTGCAGACGTCGGCGATGAATCTCATTTCTTGAAGATATTTCTGGAGATAGCTTGGGATTGGCGGAAGTCTATTAAAGATTAGGTTGAGATGGTGTTTATGGGAGAGGGTCTAGTTAGTGAATGACGTAGAGCGCTGCCCCGCGATCATGACATGAGGCTGAAACACCAAAGAGAATTGAGCTGAGTACATTCACATACGAAATGGCAGCTTGTCACTTCACAAAAAGTTAGTTATCACGCAGTAGGTCTGCTCATTCATTCGTTACCCATTTGCAGGGTTGTAAGTGAAGCGACTAATCATAAGTCATACTCTGTCCCTCATTCCCAGGTACCCGTAGGCGATGGCTCAAACAGCCCAGTAAACATCAATCTTGGCCTTCTCGATATGATTAACCCACCCCCCAAACCTCGCCTTCGCCCAAATCGTAACAACATCTCCCATCTTCAAATCCCTCACAAACCACCCATCGCCCGTCTCCTCGCCCCTGCCCTCCTCAGCCTTCATCTTGACAGCAGCTTCAGAGTCGGGCTTGGCATCGTCGTCCCACGCCCACGTAATCACATGGTCTTGCCAGGCGCGGTGCGCTGTCTTGTTGCGAACGATGGTCCATTTCTCCTGGTGTGCGAGAGGGTGCGAGTATGCGAACTTGTCGCTGCCTTTGGGGACGATGGAGGGGTAGAGAGGGCGGAGGGCGCAGACGGGGAGGGGTGATGCGACGGAGGATGCAGATTTGAAGCGGACGTCGTATGTGCAGTTTGGATCGCCTATAAAGTCAGCATTGAATTTAATTGAGGAGTCTTGGAGCTTACAGGTTTGTTCGGCGTCAAACTTCTCTAGACCGGCTTCAAACCACGTCCAGGCTCCGTTGTACGTATGGCGATTATCCGGTTCACCACCCCACCCCTGATCCTTACTCCGTATCGTAAAGACCACCTTTCTCACAGGGTGGAGTAATTTCGGCGTAGGATAATCAGCCAGTTTTGTGAAATACGAAGCATCGTGCTCCGTCTTTAAAGGCGCCGGCTTCGCCTCGTTCAGATCATACGCCAACACTTCAGCAAGCGCTTTCTTGCCTTGAATCCCCGTCAGACCCACAGGAAACGATCGAAGCTACAGTAATTAGTCTTGCACTATATTCAGGGAGAAAGAACTTACGAGGAACTTGTTCTCAGAGGGGCTTTGGCCGTTGACGCGGAGGGGACTCGAGTGCTCAGCGATGTAGTCAACCTCATTACTCGAATGCGCCCAATACTCCGCAAAGTCGAGAATGACATCGACAACACCTGGCGGAAGCTTCTTTCCCTTCGTGAGCATGATTCTCGTAATAATCACATCCACAGGCGTCAAACCCCCAGAGGAGGAGGAAGAGCTCGTTTCATTGTCATTCTGGCTCCCCAGCGATAGCATACTTCGCAAGCCGTCGATCACGTTCTGGGGAATGCTCTGCGCCATGATGAGGTAGGCGATGATGAAGTAGAAAATGTAGACCAGCATAAAATCTAGGAGGGTAGAAATGAATTTGGAGTGTTTCTGGTGAAAGAAAAGACAGGTTTTTTGTAAATGTATACACGGCGAAAAGGTGACGCGTTTGGGGCTTGTTCTAGAGAGGCAGCAGCTTATCACCTACAGCTGCGGCGTTGAATTGACGTCAGAAGATTGTACACGTGCCTCGGGCGTCACACAAAAAGCGTGATCTGTCTCACTTGAACTTATGATGAGTTTGAGTTTAAACCCAGACTAAGCCCTATGACGACGATCTTGAGATCTATACTAATTTCATTGGAGAATATTTACTATGAAGAAGCTATTTGTCTCTGCTGTAGGTGGTAGCTCGAGATAGTTCCCTCTTACACTGGGCTCTTCTATCTTATCACAACTCCATATCTTATCGCACGTGCAATGGCATCATCCCGACCCGGCGTCCAATCCCGTCCCCCGCGCATCGGAGCTCCATCAATTTCGCCGTCCAAGAATCCTCGATTACAAACATGAAGCTCAACTCCCCCCAAGCGACGACAATCTTTCCTCCTCACACTCACATACCACCATGAGGTCCACAAGGTCTCTCGTGCGCTCAACTCGCCAGCTCCAAACATCCCTCAGACATGTCCGCCCAACATGTCTCGCCCCGAGGGTCCGAGAGCTTCACTCCGCTGCCCCCCGGAAGTCGGGCGTCGCATCTAACCCAGCAATGTCGTTCCCCTGCCTCGACGCTCTAGAATCCCGTTCTGCCCGCTTGACCGACGACGATACCGAGCCCTCGTACACCTCAGGCGCCACGCAGAATTATCTCTGCAAAGAACCCTTTATGCTAGACTGGGGCGGCGTCCTTCCCGAGTTCAACATTGCGTACGAGACGTGGGGTGAGCTCAACGCTGATAAATCGAATGCTATTCTTCTTCACACTGGTCTATCCGCTTCGTCGCATGCGCACTCTACAGAGGCGAACACAAAGCCTGGCTGGTGGGAGAAGTTCATTGGGCCAGGAGGACCGCTTGATACGAACAAATACCACGTTATCTGCACCAATGTCATCGGTGGCTGCAACGGTTCTACGGGACCGAGTAGTGTCGATCCAGGCAATGGAGAGCGCTACGCAACCCATTTCCCCATCTTGACCACGGACGATATGGTCCGCGCTCAATTCCGTCTTCTCGATCATCTCGGCATCGATAA